ATCACACAAGACAAACAGTCTTGTATCAGAGCCACAGACTGCTTCGTATGCAAGCCTGCTTGCCTATTCCCTCGGATGAAACTGCAACATGACTTTTAAACACCTATCTGGTGGCTGCAGCAAAAACGAGCAGTGTACAGTAACCTTCAGTGAGGTTTCAAACCACAGAAACACCAGATTGCTGGTGTGTCAAACAACACCGGCTACCTCATGACGTAATTTAAAAACAATTATAAGACTAGCATAATCATCATCATTTCAGATTAAAATCTAATTATACTCTCCAGCAGCTGAAATTTAAGATCTGAAAGCACAAGCATCTATCTAGCTGTGGATAAAAATGAGGCTCACCTTCGTAGAGATGAGCAAGGATAGGTCAGTCAGCTACAATAGAAGATTATATTAAGAAAGAGATTGTTCCAAAAAGCACCAGCTCCCATAAGGACCACCCCACTCACAGAGGCTTCTCTTTGTTTACCAACGTGCCCAGCCTGATGATGTGACAGCCCAGTTAATCACAGTGCTGAGAGAGAGTGAGAGAAGACAGGATGAGAGAGGAATGACTGCAGATCCAGCAGGGCTTGTGGAAACCGAATAAAAGATGAGTGCTGGAAGACAGCTAATGGGAGGGGGGAGGGCATTATCACACTGTGTGGACAGACTGCAATCACAGTACAGTACCTGATGTATACACTGACCCACAGTAACTGATAGCCTAAAATACAAATAATACAGTTGAGGGCTTGATGCTGACACAAACAAGAAACCTGATCATAACACACGAAGACACTACCCTGTGTGAAGGGCGCTATATAAATGCAAGTTGTTGTTAATACAATTTATGTGGGTGTAAGTAGGATAATTAATTAATGGGGGGGGGGGTGGGGGGGGAAATGCCTCACGGCGGCTCAGTGAGCAATGTCACATCCTGATACACAGTGCAGAGGTGAAGACCTGGACTATCCTGGATTCCACCCTGAATCCATGCAGAATAAGCCGATCTCACCAAGGAATTGGGGGAGGGGAGGGAGGTGACATATTAAAAGTTCTACACATGACCTCAGTCAGTGTTCTGGAGGAGAAAGGGAAAGAGGTTCTTGATAATAATCTAGAGACCACCTCTCCCCCCTCCCCACTGGAATGTACACGTGCAGTCAACAGGTGAGGACACGATCAGATGCAACGGGGTCACCTCCCACGGATGAATAGTGGCAGCACTCATGGTCTTGAAGAATGATTCCTTGGGCGAGGTACCAGAAGGCAAGTGGCGTTTATCAAACCATACACACCAGGTGGCATCACTTTCAAGAGAGGAAACTGGAGAAGAATCTTCCCAATAAAGGTCATCCTACGTATAAGTGTTTTTACCAGTAATACAACAATCTGCATCATCCAAATTGATTTAAGTGTGTGCCAAAGGGGAGATGCAAAAGCAGTTGAACTTGAGAATCAACCCCATCTGGTGGTGCTTAATGAACACTATCAACCAATGAAAGAAAGAGTAAATGGACCCCATTAAACTGGGTGATAATCCTAGCCAAGGTAATAATAATAATAATAATCCTTGCATTTGATATAACGCTTTTCACGTCTTCTAGACGTCTCAAAGCGCTTCACAGAATAGACTGTAAAGTGAATTAACTGTATATTTGTGGGTGAAAAGGTAGCTGGTATAGACAAGATAGCTGGGTCGTATCCTACTCAAGGTACAGCTCCACCGTCAGTACCTATTGAACAACTCATCCAGTTGTGTAAGTAACGTCACTAAGGACACTGATTTCCATTCAATCCTCTATCAGAAATAACAATCTGTTAGAGAGCTCGGGACAAACTCTAAACCAATGTGCCTTCAGGCACTTTACACCCTGCGTTACTCTTTACTATGCACCTGCTGTGTGTTTTAGTCCAGGCTGACGCTTCAGTGCAGGACTTTATGGTTGTTTGGGGGACTTCGCTGTGTCAAAATGGCTGCGACGTTTGACGACAGATACACAGTCACTACACTTGGCAATAATTCCCAGTGAGACATTTCAACATAATAATCGCTAAATCAAACACACAAGGTTACTGTTTGCAAGTCAATGCGTTTTACATCTACGTGAATTAGATGCACAAAACACCATTTACGTGCACATACTGATCGGGATTGAAACATTTTATAATCTAATTCTGAGACAAAATAGATAAAGCAACCACTGTAGTACTTAATTTCATCACTGGAGGCTACAACAACAGTGAATAAATACTGTGCTGCCCTCTCGAGGAAGAAATAAGACAAAGCACTTGTGGAAAGCTGAAGACATTATCACCTCAGAGTGATCTTTATCACAACGTTGCTTATATCTTACTTTTGCCCCCAAATTTTACCCCCCGATTGCACCGATAACATCAAAACTTCTCATTTTGGTCAACACACTTCTCAGTGATTACTGTTTTGCAGCAGACATTTTGCACGCAGCAAAGTCCCACAAAAACACCATGAAATGACAGACGTTTTTTGTAATACAGTAATATAATCTTTACTTTTCATATAAGTTTCTATAAGGTTAAAATTTCCCAAAAAGCAGGATAGTTTTTGATCGTGCTTATGGCCACCTCCCACCTCCTTCTCCCCCTGGCTCGTTGTCAGATTCTGTCAAGCGCTCTAGGACGCTTCCCCGCGTGAAAGGCGCTGTATAAATGCAAGTTGTTATTGTTGTTGATAGGGGATTCCTGTTGAGTGGTGACTGTGTATTTGTATCCACAATCTTCAGAGGCGAGAGAGCTACTAACGGAGCCAAAGCAAGTAAACTACCTTATATAACATATCCATAAACCATCACCACCCTAGTTTAGGAATCTATTACTTCAACTAGAGCCAAAACGCCAACTGTAACAGCTGTCACCCATCGTGCTTAAAGGCTGAACAAGCTGACCTGAAAATTAGCAGCTCAAAAGCAAGTAAGCCCCGACATTTCCAAAGTTCACTTCCTTTATCCTTTTCCCACCTGATAAACATAGTTAGAAATCCGAGGCCTTTGCCTCTTTATCCTGCAGGGAAAGCATTGTCTCTTTCCATGTGCCAACTAATAATTCACAAATGAATTTCCATAAACCTCTCAAGCACACAAGTATCTCACCTCCACCCCCTCCAGTCAAAAGCTGCAAGAAGGATGTTTTATTAAAACGAAAATGCAGCACAACATGAAGCATTTGGAAAGCTACACAAATAATGTATGGTATTGGAGCGAGAGGAGAGCATCATTGATCTGCATTGTGGAACCCACTGGTTAGTACAGTCCTAGAAATTCAATCACCCAAAATTACTGTTGGTTATAATATAGTGGTTTGGGTCCTTAAAATCATACCCCGTAATACATGTAATCCAGTACTCCACCTGGAAGTGTACTCCAGTATACATGAAATAGGACACAATCTCAAAAGGAAAAAGTCACAAAAATATTCACACCAAGGCTTGAGAAAAATAGAATCTTTCTGTGTGCAATAGCTAAGATTGTTTTTGCATATATATTATGGTTACCTGTCCTCAAGGGAAATTCATCAGGTCTGCGTTATGAAACTTTATCACAATTGAGACTATTGTAGCAAAGATCAATATAACTGTGATTTGAGTAGGATTCAATTCAGGTTAAGAAACCACTCTTTGTATAGCTTGAATAGAAATGTTATTCCTATGTGGGAAAGGTAATATTTCCATTATAGGAACAAGCTGAGCCCTGCCTTAGAAACATTATCCACACGCTGAGCATCACTTGGGCCATTGAATTATTGTGTGTGCATGCTGAGAGTGGGATTGGCAAGGTTTCCTACAGCTGATCTAATCTAATAAAACTCTTGCACGATACTTTGAAAATGGATAACAGCTAGAGTCACGCGCAAAGTAACAGAGGCATGACACCATGGTAAACTGTGTTCCAAAATGTCTGATCAAAAGAAGGTAGCAGGTACTAAAAAAGAATAGTCTGGTGGATCGATGACCAAAGAATCCAACTCAAACCGACAGTGAATTCCAAACAGCCATGAAGTGAATGACCAATTTAACTGGACGACATGGGGAAAATCTCCCTTATCCTTCCCAATAGCGGAGCAGAATTCGAACACAAAACGTTGAACCAAAAATTCAGTTTAATGTCACATCTGATGGACAGCACCTCTGACACCGCAATGCATCTCCCAGCAATGCGCTGGAGTGTCAGGCTAAACTGTGAGTGAGCTGAAGTCATGACTTTCTACTGAACTCATAAAGGAGTCATTACACATAGTAGACCTCAGGTTCCCATATGGAATTTATGCTCTTACGGTTGCTATTCTACTTTCGGGTTTGGCGCCAGTTTTTTTCTTGCACAGAGCGAATTTCGATGAAGTAGCTGTGCGGTTGGCAAGGTGATGAGATGTCTGCAGACACTGACAATCAGCACCAGGGTTCAGGTACTTAACTGATTATGCAGTGTAAACCGTGCATCGCATATATGGGGTTTACCGTGGTATTTAAGCCCCACAAAGTTAGTAGATGTAAGTTGCCATGGTTACCACAGGCGCTCACGACTGCTCGGCAACGATGCAAAGTTAAATTGTATTTCAATGTACTGGAGCCTCGTGACTCAGTGGCATGTCACTGGGGCCACAGAGCCACAATGGAGTGGTTTCAGGGATATGGGATCGAGGTGCCCGGAAGACCAGTGCAGAACTGAGGAAGCACTGTCCTTCAGATGAGAGTATTAAACTAAAGTCCCTACAAAACACAGTCACTACATGTGACAGCAATTACTGTTAAGACCATTTGAGATTTTTGGCATCATAGGCAGTATAAAAAGCCAATATTTCTACTTCCTATGTACACATGTACATCAAGGTTTTTAATTCTGAGAACTGAAGTTTAGATAAACGTGACAAAGCTGGAAGAGTCATTGGCTAAAAGACGTATTGGCACATCACCAAGAATGTTTTGTAAGCTTTGAGAAACCTTGGTTAACTTCACACACCTCGGGTTTATAAAGCAACTCCCTGGAGATTCACCCTTAAGCACCAACCTCAAGAATCTGGTGTGCAATGTCACAGTGATTTTACATGTGGTGCTTGTATTCTGATCATCACAGAGCTCTCATTGTTCTTGCGTTAAATAATCATAGTTTCATAACTACACTCTACCGCCCCCTCCAAAGATATTATATAAGGAGAGCTGGTTTTCACTTAGGCTGGACAAAAACAGGAATTCCGCAGACAATTGAAGCCACAAAGAAAAACCTGTGAAAATGTGAGTAGGTCTCCTAATGTACTTTGAAATATAGAGTCTATCCAATACTAATAGTATTAGTTCCAATACTTTAAACATTGCAACTACTTTAAATGTGTGCCATTAATTTCCCAAAACTTTTTGTGTGCTGATATGCAGTGTACTTAACAAGACTGCAAAACAATCTAACTGACTTACAAATGTTGAGTGCTTACATTTAACATTGGCACTGTTTTTGTCTGCCTTCAGTAGAACTTATGAAGGAACTTTTTTGTTGTTATGTAATTTGGATTTTTAAAAAAAGCTACAGACCTGGTGAAAAATGGCCTCTTTAACCCTATATTGTATTCTTTTTCAGTTTATATTTTTAAGAGATCAAACCTATGTCAGTCTATTCTTTGGGAATCGGTTCAGTTTGATTAATAGTTTGCTGGCAGTATCTAATTTCCAATCTATAATACATGTTATAGATTGCAATGTGTTAAACGGCCATAAATCTTATTGGCAAGGCTCTCTCTGAGCTCCTGAATTTTTATGTAACTAGCTGTACCTGTTGCAGCTAGGCTTGCATCCAAATATGGAATGTAGATTAACAACCAGACAGACAGACATTTCATCTTTATCAATACTCATCTGGGAGCACTCCCGTGGGAGGATTTTGTTCTTCAGTTTCATTTAATAGGCCTTCTCTTTTTGCCTAGTATTTTTACTTATCCTTGAAAGGTTTGATTTTCACTTAGGAATCTTTAAAATGATAAATACAAATGTATAATTTATAATAATCACTGGGACGTCCTCCCGATGTAAAATGCGCTTTAAAATTTTAATTTGTTGTTGTTGCTGCAGTTTAGCTTCGTCTGTGTTCTTTATTTTGTTCCCGCCGCTTGGCTCCGTGGGTGCTCTGTGGTGCAGGATGCCACAGCGACACGGTCAGCCGATGTGGCCACCAGGTGTCACTGCAGTGTGCGCGTACATAGGTATGTGCTCTGTGACACACGATGCCACAGAGCCACTCTGACTCGGCGGTTACCAGGTGTAACTCCAGCGAAAAACACAAAAGTGATATAACTCATAAACGATAGGAGATACCTGAAAAAAAACATACCCATGTCATTCCCAGATGCAAGCCCTTTCCAGTGAGGTATAAATCATGTCTCTACGTCAATCAGTTATTGAGATCCTTCTTGAAGCGCACAGACATTGTTGTTTTATTAGTATAGAAGATAGAAGATATATCACCCAAATGTCTAAATGCACTTCACAGGTAATGTATAGTAACTATGTATTTTGAGACATCCGCAGCATCAATTTTGACCACAGGAAGGTCCCACAAACAGCCATGAAGTTGATATTATTAATTTCACCTGCAGAACTGTTGGTAAGGACACTGAGAGAAACTCTCTGTTTGAATAACGTTCCACATAGGCAGACTGGACTTGGTTTAATGTCTCATCCAAAGGGCAACAATGCAGCGATCCTGTTTAACACTGATTAATTGCCCACAGGCTATCTAGACAGTCACATTTACCTGCATCAGGGCTCCAGTGCCAAGTGAAGTCAGGAAGCGATACTAGCAAATCGTTTTACTTGTCCATATGGACATAATGTTATCAGAAATGTGATAGCACAAAGCGGAAAGATCTGATCCAAGCAAGCATAGGATTATAGAATGAGAGTTAGAGAGGCAAGGAGAAAACGAGAGTGAGAGAAACCAACGCACTCATCCGCACTGTTTTCAAACCCACACTGGGACTGGTCCCAAGTTGTGCAGATATCGGGCTCTCGTGTGAAAAACAGAAGCATAAAGCGAAGCTGTTCTCAATGATCGTCATTATCAAGCATGATAAAACAATCTGTACGTGGTGCAGAAGGTACTGTGCTTAGATAACGAGAGCAACTTCAATGAAGAGTGTGATCGTTCGACATTTCAGTAACAAATGTGACAAAGTGAGTAATTTGGATTTAAAAAATATTACAGCTCAAGCAAAGAGGCATGAACCCAGTTCGTATAAAGAAACTGATTTGGGTTTCTCAATTTCCATTCAGCACAAAGGAAATAAAAAATGAAAAGCCTGACAACAGTGATGCTTCCCAGGAGGCTCTGAAAAACGTTCTGGGAAAAAATATTGATTCATTAGGCAGCGTTTCTGATGAATGCATCGTATCAACTCAGCTGCTGGAAGACTTTATAACAAGAAGTTGCGTGCGTTAGAGACTGACATTTTCAGCTCGGCTCAGTTGGCAGCAGGCTAAACTTGTGGATTGAAGCCCCACATTGATACTCTGAGCTCACGGTGATACTGAGAGCCTATTAAGCCTGCTCAGGTAGATGTAAAAGATCCTGCGGCATTGCTTGAAAGCAAAGGCCAATAATCCTCCGGATGAAAGAAGTCCTTCATTTCCTGGCTGTTTGAGGGACCTTGCTGTGTGCAGGCTGACTGCACCATTTGCCTGCTGATATACATTCACTGCACTTGACACTAATTCCTCTTGAAGCACCGATACCTTTTGATATTAGCAGCTACATATTACAAAGATTTTTAGTTTGATTTTCAGTGGGTCGTTCAAAATGTCAATGAAGCTGTAGACTCCAGGAACACCCAAAAAGCAGGCTCTCTAATCTACTTACCACAATGGTGCAGAGCCAGGAACACTCCTCCTCCCTGATCCAGAATGAAGTCATTCAGATCTTCCTCTAAAAACCAGAGTGTAGGGTCCTTCCAATCCATAGGTGAAACTCTATGGAGGATATGTGAGTAATGGGACCTCCAGTTTCCAGTCTTGTAATAGTCTATAAATAGAATAAACATACACTGTTGCAGAACTGGGTATTAGCAAGTTTTTATCCTTCTATCTTTACTAATGTTCTGTTCATTTTGCTAAAATGAACAGATTTCTTCATTTCAAAGATTGATAATAAATGTTATTACCAGCATATTTATTGCTTATAAAATACCCAGGAGTTACATTTGACAGCAATCCCTCGTGAAGTGCTTCAAGGCGTTTCAATCAAATGCTATCGAATGCAAGTATTATTATTTTATTGGTTCCATTACACAAGGTAGGGAAGTTAACTCCCCTTTTAGGCACAGCCCTTTTGAAGTAAATGAAAATATTATGCTGTATCATTTAACTAAAATACTTCCGTTATTATTACCCGACACTAAAACCATTTTTCATCCCAATTTCATGCAAAGAAGCGCATGGAAGATTGATGCTCTTACGCTTCTGCAATGTTCAAGATCACATGTGCCTCTTTTATCATCTGGCTTTTGGTTTCAGTAATACACTCATTTAGAAGACGGCTTTGGTTTGTGCCAGTTGAAACAATTAACTTATTTTCCCCACAAAATGTTCTGATTGCAAACTGTTCCCAAGTGTCCATTGAAAATAGCGCAGCAATAAAATGCAATGTGTCACACAACTCTCAAAGTACAACAACTCTGTACAATTCCAGTGAAACATGATGAATGACACAACTATTACATCATCATGCATCAAACCCAATTTTAGTCTTTTTGGTGAATTTTAGTTGAAAACACCTCAAACATTGCACAGAATAAAATCATCAATTAATCAATACTGGTTCCTCACGTCAAGAAATGCAGAGAACAATTGGGGCAATTGTCAAGCAGCGTCCATAAACTGTCAAAAAGAATGCAGGGATTATTTCACTAAAGGAAGTCTCTGCTGGCGTCCTGGTCAACAATTGATTGCTCATTCACCTCATGGCTGTTTGTGGACCATTGCTAGCACAAATAGCTGCCATGTTTTCCTGCAAAAACAGTCACTACACTTACAGTAATTATTTGTGAAGCACTTTTGAGCTGTTTTGATGCTATAAAGGTGCAATAAAAAGCCAAATTCTTTCTTTAAATTGACAAATTACATGCAGGACTGTTGAGCGCAGAGACCTCTGGACAGTCTCTATATGATGGACCCCCAGGAAGCATCTCTATAATCATGGCTAGAATAGTTATTTTCTCTGACAAATGTTCTTTTTATGAATATTATATTCACGTGATGCCACAAGCGTAGTCAAACGTCACTGCTATATAGTATGTATTCAATTTGTTTTATCTGTTCTTTCCCCAGGAGCTGGACTGGATTGATTCTCGTTGTGTTTCTTGGTCTCACCAACGCTGAAGTTAGGTCAGAAATCTGGCTTTTCATATACAGCAACAACGTCCATTTATTCACGCGGGGTATCGTCCTGGAGAGCTTGACCGTGGCAAAGTCGGACCCCCGAGCCAGGGGAAGAGGGAGGGGGGAGGTGACCATAAGCACAATGAAAAAGCAAGGTCTTTAGGCAAGATTTGAAAGTGGGGAGGGAGTATACCCACTGTAACACTGAATAACAAAAAACTTCACAATTACAATGAGAGCTAACATTGTCTTGCTGCATACACTCAAATTCAGCACAATAAAGAAATCCAAACAGGAACTCTGTGCAGTTCCAGTGACCCATATTAAATGACCAAAACCCGACTGCTTAACTCTACACTTCTTTGGGGAGGCTGAGTGCACTCGGTATATACTGTACGAAACAACTGAAGAAACCTTTGTACAATATGTACAGAGCAGAATGAATGCGTAGTGAATTGGTTCCATCAATTATTTTGTTTCTTCTTTTGGAACAGTGATTCTCAATGCAGAGAAACAAAGGAGTGCCTAGAGTACGTTGTTAACTGTGAATCTCCAGATTATGAGGTGAGAGATGTAATTTGAAACACTGCAACAGATATGCACATGCATTCACACAAGAAGAATAATGTGTTTGGCTATTCCAAGACCAGGGAGTATTAAAATATTGTTTGATTGTTTGAACAGATCACTAATAACTAAATTCCAGCACTAAAACGTTAGACTGGTAGTCAAGGTGGGTTGGCATTGCGATCAAGTTTTTAATCCTATCTCTAGGGGTGTTAGAGGTTCCAGCATGAGAAACTTGCTAACACCAGGAAACTGTATCCGTATTTCTAATAAGATTTGAATTAAATGGTCAAAGTCACAACATTGTTGGAAAATTCTAAGGCTCAATATTGACCGTCTCCCCAGCTCAGTAATGGGATGAAAAGAGGAAACTAAGGAAGTGATATATTAATGTTGTTCGGGGGCATAAATTAGGTTTGGTTTGGAGATAAGCTAAATGCTTAAAGTTGTTAAATCACTTTTTTCTTTGCTGCTCAACACCAGATTCGCCATTATAAACGTTCCAAGTGGGTTGCAACCGATATTACATCCTGGGTTATGGAATACTCTGTAGCCCTTGGATTTGGAAAGCTCTTTGCCTACATCCAGGGCAACAACAAAGGAGGTACGCACGTGTGACAAAAAAAAGTGTTAAATTGGATGTTAAGTGGTTGTTAAAGATCCCCAAAAAGATATGAAAAGAGCAGTGATTCTCCCTGTGTTCTAATGAATAATCCTTTGGAACAATGGGCCATTTATTTCAAGGCTGTCTGTGGTACCTTCCTGTGTGTAAAATGGCTGCTGCTTCACCTACAAATACACTACATGCGATTGTCATTTTCTGTGAAGCGCTTCAAGACATTTTATGACCAAGGATGTAGGGTCACCTTTTAGAAACAGCGGCCTGGGCCATATCTATGACTTGCAGAGAAGTATCATCAGTGAAAGAAAATACTTTGCATGGAAAAAAAAGTATTTTTGGCAAGTCCACCAAAACGGTTTGGCAGAAGGTGCGCAATAGGGCCTTTACTAATGAATAGTACCATTCCGTGGCTTTTCAAAGAGCGCAGTAAATTCATTTAATTATGGGATTGGGCACTTGCCACTTGGGTAATCTAGAGAAGTCACACAGCATATTCACCTGTGTCACAATGTGCATTAACAGAATTTAGTAGCAACCACTAATCCTGGGATTTAAACACAGGCCAGAAAATGAACATGACAACTCCAGTTCTGATTAAGATACAAAAAGCAGATATGTCTGTCAACAAGTACACGGTTTACTTCTTGCTTCCAAAGAGTCATCAGCATGATCCACCAACACCCCTCTTTCCTGAAGTAAGTAGCTGCAGAGAATTTTTTATAAAATACTTTGAATCCGTTTTGGCTTTGCTTGCCTGGTCTTATTTATTTCCTGCAATGTGAGGGGGTCATCTTAGCTCAGTCGCTGCACTCTCATTTCCCTTTTCGCTTGGCTGTCTGTTCAAGTGGATATTAAAGAACCCTCGATACGACATAACAATTGAAGGGAGTTTCCTCATGTCCTGGCCAACACTTCCCCATTTAAATTGATCATTCACTTCATGGTTGGGTGTGGGACCTTGCTGCGTGTCAATAAATAACACTTTTTTTTGTTAGCATCCTTACACATGTCAGCAATTACCAGCGAAGTGGTTTGAGACACTGCAATATTATACTCTGCTGTATAAAATGCAAGTTTTTTTTTATCTGTGTCAATCTCTGATTAGAAAGATTTATTTTTCCCTTTTACACAATACAGATTTATTTTGCTGACCTGCCAAGGATGGATGCTTACGTCAAATCATTCGGTGGCTGGATGTTCTCGTTCAATTCGAAACACTATTCTGCACAGTTGGCGAAACAGCTGATGAATGCTAGTGCATCCTTTGACTCCAGTTATTTCTATGCGGCTGTCTACAACAGGTAAAGGTTTGAGCACTATTGAGCAAATCGGCCACTTGATGAGATCTCACTCTTGACTATGTCATCGGCAAGAGAAACTGAGGTGCTTCCCAAGCGGAAAATCCAAAGTTAAATGATCTCCTCCATCACCTGAAAAGAAGGGGATACAAGAAAAAGAATGAATGCTATACGTCTGTCTTGATCATACCACTATGGAGAATTCCAAAGCAATTCTACCATTCATCTTCTTTCCAGATGTTCCTTGAAACAAATGGATTATATTAAAACCAACCTAACATGTTTTATTTTCCTTTCTAGACCACTAAAAATAATTGGCCGGCACAATGAAGTGTGGTACATCGCAAAAGGAAAGCCAGAGTGTCCAAGCTCCAGGTTTTAAACAATGAGGTAACTCGCCTCACAGAACAACTGGAAGACCTTTTCACATGCTTTTTAGTTTGATATATGTTGTCCTTCACAACATTTGCATGAGTAGACTCTAAATTTTGGCTTCATTATGATATATAGACAGAGGTTTCCCCTCATGCCCTCGCACCGCCCTACCTCTCCGAGTTGCTTACCAACCATTCCACCACCCGCTGCCTCTGCTCGGCCGGCTCCGGCCTCATGTTCGTCCCCCGCCCCGTCCGCTCCACCATTGGCGGCCGTACTTTCAGCCACGATGCCCCATCCCCCATCTATTCCCCCGCCTTGCCCCCTCCCTCCCCACCGCTCCCGATGAGCTTCCTTTTTTGATCGTGCTTACGGTCGCCTCCCGCCTCCCTCTCCCCGCCCCCCACCCCTCCCCCCCCAGCTCGGGGGTCAGTGTCCAGCGCTCCGAGAGGCCGCTAACGCGTGGAAGGGCGTTATATAAGTCCAAGCTGTCGCTTTCCTGCTGCGTCGCCGAATCATAAACTATTACAGCTCGCAGGTCCCCAGGGTTGCAACGTACATCTGTAACTTTGCTGACGAAATATAACACCTTAGCTGAGAAGCTCACTTCGTAACCCCAACCCCCGATCACTAAACCCGAAGTGCCTTTGCGTCGGAAGTCTCTTAAACGAACGGTGGGGAAAATACACACTGCTTTCCTACTGCAGCACCCAAGGCTTTCAAATATAGTTTCTGTGGTGCCGCCCTGCAACGAGGGGCGCTATGTAACCGCAAAATTGCTGCTGTTGCTGTTGCTGTTGTTGTTGTTGACTAATCCAGCGTTACCAGGAACGCCGAATCCAGCAATAAATCTGCCTCGATCATTCTGTGGCGGCTTTTCGACTGCTGTGAAAGAGCGCGACCGCAAATAAAAATAAAAAAATCGCGCACTGTCCATCTCTGCCGCTGGGGGCTGGTGGGGTTAGTCCTTTCAAAGATATTAATGACAATAATAATAATAATTAATAATGATAATAATAATAGGGCCTTGCATTTGATATCGGGCCCGGCAGGAGCGCTCCGAGCGGGTTATCTCCCTCGCGCGCCGTGGAATAACTCAGTAATCCACTCAATAATAATAATAATAATAATGATTAATAATTAATAATTTGGGCCACTTCAATCCACGGCTGTTGGCGGGGACGCCGCCGGGGGCGCCAGTCAAAGCCGCGCGCACTCCGCCAAGCGCTCCCAGGCGTCTGGAGGACGCGACGAGAGAGGGCGCCGCGCGTGAAAAACAAAAGGCATCGGCAGCGAAAAGGGGATCCACTTGGGACGTCGGAGCGGCTGCCGTCGGTCGACCCGCTTCTGCTGTGGCGCCGGGGAGGTACCGGCATCCCCCCGGGGGGGGGGGCTCCAGCGCGCGCGCCCGCTCGCTTCGCGCCCAACCGTCGTCTCGCGCTGCGGCGCCTGCGCGCTGACCGGCCCCTCCCCCCTCCCCGCGCTGCGGCGCCTGCGCACGGACCGGCCCCTCCCCCCTCCCCGCGCTGCGGCGCCTGCGCACGGACCGGCCCCTCCCCCCGTCCGCGCTGCGGCGCCTGCGCAAGGACCGGCCTCCCTCCCTCCCCGCGCGACCAACCGCCTTTCCCGCTGCGGCGCCTGCGCACAACCCGGCGCCTCGCCCTCTGCCTCGCGCGCGTGCGACCAACCGTCGCCTCCCTCCCTCCCTCCCCTCCCTCCGTCGCGCGACCAACCGCCTCTCCTTTCCCGGGCCCTCTCGCGCGCCCCGCCCCGTCGCAGCCGCCATTTTTTTTTCCCGCTCGGACGCGTGTGACGGACGCCCCGGTTGCTCTGTGTGTGTGTGTGTGGGGGGGGGGGGGGGTAGTGACGGCACAATGGCGCCTCCGTTGTCTGGGAGAGCGTGTCCCCCCCTCTCCTCAGGCCCAGGTTCCCGGGGCAGCAGCACAGCCTCGTGGCCATGGCGGCGGCGGCGTTCCTCGTCCGCCTCATCCTCATCATCTTCTTCACCTTCATGTTCGGGATCGTACCCACAGGTGAGCTCCTTGGACCCCCCCTCCCCACACACTTTCTTTTTGTGGGGAGGGGAGGGGAAGAGGATGGGGGGGCGGGTGGTTGGGGTCGGGGCGGGGACTGGGCAACAATCCAAGCAACATTCGCAGCGCCTGCCTTCGAGGCGTCTCAAAGCGCTTCGACCACGACCACGACGGCGGCAACAGCTCGCGCTTATACAGCGCCCATCCCCCCCCCCCCCCCGCGGGGGAGCGTCTCAGAGCGCTTAACAGTGGCGTAAGCCTGATTCCGAGCCGGTGGGTTGGGTTGGGTTGGGGGGGGGGTTGTGGGGGGTGAGGAGGCCGTACGCTCGGTCAAGTCCTGTAAGGGGGGGCTTGAACGAGGGTAGAGAGGGGGGGTGGGGGCGTGAGGGGGGGTGGGGGCGCAAGGCGGAGGGATTGAGGGAGAGCGTTCGAGAGTTTCGGGGCGCAGTGGCCCAAAGCGCGACCTCCGATGGTGGGGTCCCGGAGGGCGCGAGGGACGAGCCGGAGGCCGGTCGGTGCCAGTCGAGCGGAGGCGCTGACCGGGTGGTGGGTTGAGGGGGAGTCAGGAGGTCGGAGAGGTAGGGAGGTGCCGGGGAGTGGGTGAGGATCTTGAAGTCGATCCGTGCGGTGACGGGGAGGGAGCCAGTGGAACCCGGCCAGAACTGGTGAGATGTGGGTACGGAGGATATACTGGAGTGACTGTGTATTTTATGGGCGAAACGAGGCAGCCAATTGCGCCTCGTGACGTCCCCACAAACTAGTCGTGGATTGCAGTGACCATGTTATGATTGTTCTTTGGAAGGGATTATTACCCCCAGAAAAACATTTTCGTCCGATCGGCTAACACGTGTGTGTGAAGTAAGGAAACTTGCTTAAGGTTTCACCCGGGGATCGACCCCCGGGTCCTCTCGTTTGCGCGACGAGTGCTCTAACCATTACAGGACTCCACGTTCTTGATCTTAGTGCAAGATATTTGAAGAACACTGAATGCACCGACTGTACACAGTACTCTGGATGAGGTTTAACCAGTCATCTATATAACTGGAGCGGCACCTCCTTACTTTTATATTCCAGACCTCTTGTACCAGCATCTTCCAGCTTTCTGCTGATTCTGTGTGGGTTACCCTGGGGCGTCTTGCCACTGAAATGTGCAGTCACTACACTTGGTACCAGTTGCAGGTGAAGAATTTTGAGACGTTTTGCCATGCAAGATGCAATATCAAATGCAATAATAATAATAAAAATGCAAGCATTATTATTATTAACAATCTCATCTCTCCAGTCGTGTGCACAGTAATTGGCTGTTTGGTTGAAGAATATTGATAAGACTACAAGGTGATTTTGTCAGGTGCAAAGTGATAGAAACCAAATCTGTCATCCCTGGACTCAATGTTTGCAACCGATCCTAATAGTATGGCTTTAAAATGTTTAATTTCAGAGTTTGCTCGTTTACCCGAAGCCCGAATTCTGTTGAAAGAAAATGTTGGCAAACCCATGCAAGTCTCCAGGGTGGAACCTCAGAATTATAAAATGCTTCGAACTTTGAATGAAGGTAAGAAATAAATGATTACATTTAGATTAGATGGGAAAGATAAGACAAGGATCACCAGGAGAAAGACCCAATTTTTCTTTCACATCCACCTGAATCCCAGCGCCTTCGGACGACCTCCCGATGTGAAAGCCTCTATTCAAATGTAATTTTGTATTGTATTTGATATAGCGCCCTATCACGTCTTCAAGACATCTCAAAGCGTTTTGCAGAATATACTGCAAAGTGCATTGACTGTATATTTTGTGGGCAAAACGCAGCAGTGTCCTACAAAAAGACATGAGTGACCAAATTATTTTCATTTGAAGGAATTATTGCCCCCGGAAAAGTGATCCGCCAATCGACTAACAACTGGATTACTACTTGCTGCTAGGTAAACAGAAGCGTGTGGAGTAAGGAAACTTGCCCAGCATTTCGCCCTGCCGGGAATCCAACCCAGGTCTCTCGCTTGTGAGGCGAGTGCTCTAACCACTAAGCTACAGGACTCCAGGACTTAAAAATGCCTGACAGGATGTTAACCTTTTTTGAACTCATTTCATTGAGTACTCAAGTATGCAGTCCATCTGCCTGGGTTCCTTGGTCTCTTTCAGTGCCCTATGACAGTCAGATCATCTCTGCGATTTGTTTGTATCATTCATAATATTCCCTAAACCTGGAAAGTCTGTATTGCAATGGATTATTTTGTGAAAACAAAGGATATCACTTCATCACTTAACACAAGGTCAACCTCAGATCACATTGTTTTTCTCACCAAATCTTCACTTTGAATATACAGTATTTGTAAAGGTCTTCCACGTGATGTGCAATTTTAATCTCATTTTCTATTCTGGTTTCCCTGGCCAACTTTTTGACTTCCTTAGCTCTGTTTTTATGTGTATCTTTGCTTTGTTAAATCCATAGATTATACGTGAGAGAAAAGTTTGTTTTGTCCTTATTGCCTGTATTACATCCCACTCCTTCCTGTGAGCACATGGTTCGCATTGGTTAGGTTACTATCAGTGATGCACTGCCCTTTGATACTCTGGATGGGGAATTAGTTAATGTAGAGAGAAGGGCAGAGAGCATTTGCTCCCATTATAATATGTTAAGTTTTCCGTACACTTTTACTTTCCTTTTTCAATGTTTCCCTGAATGCAGGCCAATCGGAGCAAGTTTTGCAGAGTAATAAATTGAACCAACAGGAATTTGTCTCAATGGTTCTCAAACGTAGGAAGCGTGGTTCTAGATTTGTAGGTGAGTAGCACATTTAAGTAGGAGGATTTAATTTGTGAACAATACGAACAAAAACTTGACAGCATGGAGGGTATCTATCTTACAAAAGTATGAATGCAACATCAGTCCTTCTTGGTAAGTAATGCAAAGTAAATGTAGATGGGGTTGCAATGAATTGCAAACAAATTGGCAACCAAAGGTTGATACTGTATGGATCGTATTGATGTACAACAGTAGTACTGGGTTTATGACTGTTCATTAGTATTACCAGCACCTAAAAGAGCAAGGTAATTGAACGTTTTGGATCTAGCCATCCACGTTCATCCTTCAGATGCTGATTGACTCCTTGACGATGGCTGTTCTAATTGAGAGAAATGTTCTCAAAAGAACAATAAAACGAGTCATTGAGTGGAAAGAGAGAGAGAGAGGTGAAAGTGACGAGCTTTGCCTTGCAGAGTGTGACAGTTCATGATGTTGCAGTTTTGACATATCTTATTAGAAATTCCGGAAATGGAGGAAGCTATGATAGAAGAGGAGGAACGTATTCTGCCAATCCCTCCACCAAGAATGACCCCACATGTTTATGAAGGTTTGGAAAAAGGCAATATCAACATATCAGTAGTAACATTTTAAGGTTGGAATAAGGTCAATCTAACACTTTGATGCTTGTGGTTATGGGGGCACAAGGAAGAATGGTCCTTTAATGGGTGGGGCAGAGGCGAGGTACATTTCTTTAATATCAATTCATAACGTCTTGGGAAGTTTTCAAAACTGTAACTGTTGTGAAATTGGTAAATTGTATATTTTGTGGGTGAAACGTTTGATATAGCACCTTATTATGTCGTTGAGACATCTCAAACCACTTCACAGAATGTTTTGTAAAGTGGATTGACTGTATTTTGTGGGCTAAACGGTCTCAAAATCAGAAATAAACCCAAGTAGTACACCTCTTGTTCCTACAATACATATGTCCCCCTTCCTAATTCTCATTTTCCATTGTGGGTTTAAAACACCACAAATGGTTTTCTGTAGTAGGTTAGAAACAACAACAACAAGATTCCATTTATAAAGCGCCTTTCACGTCAGAAGGACGTCCCAAGGCGCTGCACAGTTGGGTCATGACCCGAGCAGGGGGAAATGGTCAGGGTGAGGGGAGGGAAGGGAGGGAGCGAGGAGGGGGGAAATGGTCAGGGTGAGGGGAGTGAAGGGAGGGATCGAGGAGGGGGAAGAGAGTCGAGAGGGGAGCTGAAGGCTCGGTCACCTGCAATTCAGCAGGTGATTATATGCCCATTTATGGGGCAACTTCTGTCTTGTGGAGCTTGATACATCACTATTAATATCTCTTCTTGAATGTTCGTCCAGACGAGAATGAAATTATTATAGAAGAGGAGGAAAACCATGTTCTTCCCAGTCCTCCGCCTAGGTTAGACGAACATGTGTATAAAGGTATGGAAACCAGGCAGTAACTAAAATTAACTTTTTAACCATTCACATAGGTTCAAGTGTAAAACCTTGAGATTTTTGTGGTTAAAATAGTAGACTGGGGGAATAGTTTTGTGTCAAGACAGGAATAATAATAACAGAACTGTATAATAATTCTGGCATTGAATACAGTACTTTATTATGTGTCAACCTTGGCTTAATGTTTTAAAGAAGTATGACACTCTGACAATGCCGCAATACTATGCTGGAACTAAGTTCCTAATGTGGGGATTCAAACCACAACCTTCCAACACAGAGCTGGTCTGGTCTGAGTGTGACTCAGCTAAACTGGGGTTGAGAATCAGCATGTGCCCAGTTGGAAGAGCGGGAGGGGAAGAAACATTCATCCAATTTTCCCTGATGCAACATTGTTGGGAAAGACCTGTAAGCAGAGTGTGAGGTGCAGTGAGACCACAAGAGGGAGAACGGGAAAGAGACAGACAGACTGATTGGTTCACTGGTTCATTGATTCATTGACTGATTCTATGCACTCTCCCCACACCACGATGATAACATTCTAAAATGTTTCCTTTCAGTCCCTCCTGAGGTTGAAGAAGAAGAAGACGAAATCATAATCGATATATCAAATAATGGAAACAAAGAGGTTCACGTACCTCTGCATTCATCGGCAAACCATCGCCATAATGGTAGGAAACTAACTGTAGCAGGAGGTGTTTTTATGAATCGGGGAAAGGGTGGACATATGATGGAGGGAGTAAAATCCTTGTAATGCAGTTAAATGTAATGAAAACTCCATATTTTGTGGAAATGGCAACTGGGAAATTGGGAAGTGGAGGCTTAAAGTTCACCTGAACCACATGATAGACAAAACCTAAATTAATTAATGACTCCCATCACGCAACACATCACAATTTGGAAAGAGATAAATCATTTGTGGGATGTACAATTGTCCGTTTGAATTCAGAACACGGATAGATTTTATATCTTTCGCTGGGGATGGGAGAGAATTGTGCTAAAAGACTTCTGCTTTTTTCTCCGAATCAGAATCCTGTACAATTTGAGTGATATTACTAAAACAATGTATTACAATTCTGCCAGGCGCTGACGTTCTAGTGCATAAGGTGAGGGGTGAGGCAGTTCTTAAATAGAGCCACCAGTACACTTATTCACATCCCCATACCTCGTATCGTATTAGTAGATCTTTTCAGGCATCATTTGTTTTTTTTGGAACCAATATTTTCAGGCAAAAATGATAATTCGAAGAAAGAAGATGAGAAAAAGAAACGGTTCAAACCTCTTTGGATCCGTGAGTAGGACAGAACGCTCATTACAAGCGCGTCATTCATAGTGGGATATTATACAGACTCTGCTTTATTAAGCTCTCTGGGAAGCTACCCTGCATGAGGGGCACTATATTAATGCAAGTTATTGTCGCTTTATAGCAGTATATTCTGTGAAGCGCTTTGTGATGTCTTAATGACATGATAAGGCGCTATATCAAAACTAGTAGTCAAATGATGTTAAGGAAGATATAAACTTCAGAGATGTACATTTCAAGGCATGGACTGTTGCCGTTTTAGAATAGTTTAAATTAGCAGCTACTCTGATGGCTTAGCTGACTAACATCAAGCCTCAGTAAAGCCAGGAACAGATCTTGTGAAATAAGCAATGAATAAATAAGCAAGTCCTTTCATCATGTGGAATTTGATATGAACAGAAGATTGTCACTGACAGTCAGTGCTGTTGGAAACACCTCAGGGTTTTTCACAGCTTGGAGGCAAGAGGCCTGAGTGCCCAACTCTTGAATCCAACCCCCAGCTCGGTTGCCAGTGCCTTGTGACTTCCGTCCTCTGGATGTGAAATGCGCTGTATGAATACAATTTGTTGTTGTCCATCCACCTGCTCGATTGGGAATAGTGGTTGTCCTGGGAAGGAAAAACGAACCAAGCTTCAGGATTTACCCACAGAGTACCCAAATACAGAGTCACTTCACTTTACAATATATTCAACCATGACTGTTGGTGGGACATTGCTGCGCGCAATTGGCTGCCGCGTTTCGCCCACAAAATAAAACGTGATAAGGGGCTATATCAAATGCAAGGATTATTATTATTCTGTGAAGCGCTTTGAGAGATCTCAACGACATGATAAGGAGCTAGAACAGCAAGGATTCTTATTATTGTATGGTCAGATTCATATCCAGTGTGAGTCGCACACCGAATCCATGAGTGCTCAGAGTGTAACAGCTCAGTCTAATTTCCTAATCATGAAAACCTCTGATTGGGAAATGTCACAGTTTGCTAACATGTTTCTTTTGTGTGGTCAGAAGTGTATTATGACTCTTTTTCAAAGACCCTTCTTAGTAACTATGCTTTGTCTTGTTCTTGTTTCCAGTTATTGCATTAAGCATCCTGGCCTTAATTATATTACTACTGCTGATGTGGTATTTCATTCCAAGGCAGTTTATGAAGAAAGTGTAAGTTTCATGCCGACGTCTTAGATTGACGAACTACATGTAGCAACTCATTTATTTAAATCATTCCCGTGCCTCATCTCATCCATTTTGTTTTTGTTTTAGCCGTGGACAGTGAGAGCAGAATAACGGGTGAGTGATTGCCTGTAAATTCTGTAAGAATTGACACAGGTTTAAGTGAATGGATTTTATCTGAAACAGAAGCAGAGGCTGACATTGGCAAGTGTGTAGCTTGGCTGTTCTAAATTAAATACCTTCCCACAGCTCACTGCCCTGGCTCATTCCACTTAGGTGAAATATGGAGAGCAGCAGTGTTTAAGGAGCTGTCACCAACTTCAGGAGAGGAGAGAAGAGACTTGTCACAAATAAATTCTCCCTGACACAATCTGCTTACTGTCCAGGAGAAAGGAGTTTCTCCCATTGTCTTGGGCAATGATTCTCCAGATGTTTTGCCCACAAAACAGACAGTCAATTCACTTTACAGTATATTCTGTGAAGTGCTTTGAGACGTCTCGAAGATGTGCTAAAGCAAATGCGAGGATTATTATTATTAAATTGATCATTCAATTCGTGGCTGTGTGTGGGACTTTGCTGTGCATAAACTGGGTGCAAAGTTTACAAGTACTCAGAGACAAAATTACTTGAGACATTTAAGAAATTATAGCTGCTTTAACATAATTATAATAATCCTTGCATTTGATATAGCGCCTTATTACATCATCAAGATGTCTCAAAGCGCTTCACAGAATATATTGCATGCATATACAATGATTATCATTATTATTACAATTACTAAAATAATATGTGACTCATCTGTTTCCCAATTAACAACAACAACAATAACAACAAGATTACATTTCTATAGCGCATTTAATAATAATCCTTGCATTTGATATAGCGCTTTTCACGTCGGGAGGACGTCCCAAGGCGCTGAAAAGCACTTAGCACAGAGTTACGCCCAGCGTAATTACAGAGAATTACATAGCTGTAGAGTCTGAAAGTTGGAAGGGAACAGATTAAGTAATTATAATAATTTGGTCACTCAATCCATGACTGTTTGTGGGACACCTGTTGTGTGCAATTGGTGGCCGTGTTTCACCCACAAATAAGCAATCAATTCACTTTACAGTATATCCTGTGAAGTGCATTAAGACGTCTTGAAGACGTGATGAGGTGTTATATCAAATGCAAGGATTATTATTATTGTACAGCTATTCCACTTCTTTGTTTTCGTTTCCAGGGTTTGGGATCTTCATAGGATTGAAAGTGGACAAGCATCGAACACTGACTAGCTACGTGGAAATTATTATGAACAAAGTGTATTTTGTTGGAATCTAACTAAATATGAAACTTTTCATATGGTTTGTTTTGTGCTCAGTCATTCCTGAATTAGCAGGTGGAACAGCCACTGTACTACTGTGATTTGTTCAGTTCTAAGTACAGTACGGTCCAGTCAGTTAAATGTAGGGACATTGGTTCCTGTGAACTATCTGAATATTTGGAAATTTAAAGGCTCGTGCTAAGGTGCTTTACAGTTTTGCCCCTTTTCCGTTCTTCAGTCTGTTTCTGGAGCTATTTCTTTTGGAGTCCTGTAGCAAATTGGTTAGCACGCTCGCCTTGCAAGCAAGGACCTGGGTTCGATTATCCGGCCAGCTGGGTCGAAACCTTCAGCAAGTTTCCTTACTCCACACGCCTCTGTTTACCGAGCAGTAAGTAAGAACCCGGTTGTTAGTAGATCGGCAGATCGCTTTTCTTGGGCTAATAATCCCTTCAAAAAAAATAATAATAGTAATTTAATCACTCAATTCACAACTTGTTGTGGGACACTGCTGTGCACAATTGGCTGCCTCATTGCAGCCACAAAGACATGCTTTACAGTATATTCTGTGAAGTGTGAGACGTCTCGAAGACGTGATAGGGCACTATGTCAAATGCAAGGGTTATTATTATAAATCCAAAAGTGCTAACAGGCTTCTATTAACTCAAGCGAGATTAGCTAATTTAGCACAGGCCTGGAAACAAACCTGTGATCTGGTCTGCATGGTTTAACGGACTTGGTCATGGGGAGAAGCAGCAGGCGCCAATTTTTAAAGCATATTTTACCTTCCGCGGTGAGCAAATCAGTTGCCATGTTTTGCTTACAAACATACTGTCACTACATTCTTATTTGTGGACCCCTTTGAGATAGGATTGATGTTAATCGGTGCTGTATCAACTGCATGCATTATTATTATATTTTTTATTTTTAGTCTTCAAAAGATATTTATATATGAACTTAAAATACATACCGTACACAGTTGTTACCCTGACAAATACTTGGGTGTTTTTAGCCGCTGGATATTTCTGGTAAACGCATTAAGATGGGTGTCATGGAGGAACCGTTCCGTTTGAAAAATATCCTTATGTATTAGGCATTACTGAGAGTTATTCGTGGTTAGTGCAGACGGTAAAGCACAATAAATGAAAGTGAGAGGCACTGCTTGAGAGGCTTGGTCAAGAAATGAAAGATTGGAATGTGTGGCTGCTCTAGATTGGCAGCCAGTCAACTCTAGCAAAGGAAAGAGCTTGTGCCAGCCATCCACAAGCATAAGGTCTGCCAAAAGGAAAATAGCAATTAGAGAGGTGTAGCTTACCAGGAAAAAAAGCCAATTGCTCACTTTCCGTTATTTAAACCACTTCCTTTCAATGATTTCAGCTATTGAATGTGTACAGCTAAATAATCTGTAGCAGCTAAATAATAATAATAATATGGGATTGCTTCTTTCTTCCCCCACCCGCTCCACCCTCCTTGACCCAGGCACAAAGGGGGAACGAGCAGAGGAATTGCATTAGAGTGGAGAGCTATATTGAAGGAGCTAGACATGATGGGCTGTGTTGTATCGATCATTATTGCTAGGCCACAAACTAGCAAAGTCAGGCTGTTGACATGAGCTGAGGGTGCTTAAGTGACTGGGGTCCATTAATTGAGCTTCCCTACATTGTCATGCTCTGTGTTCCACTGCTAAAATAATCCACGAGAAACTTTCAAAGACCCGGCATGGACACGATGGGCCGAATGGCCTCCTTCTGTGCTGTATAATTCTAAGAAATTATCCTTCCTTTTTCTTGTAAAGGGCGGGTAAGCTTTCCTGGAGTCTCAATGCACCACACTATTGATTGTAGCTTGAGAGGGAGGACATTACCAACCACTGTGACCGAGTACATGGTGAAATAGGATTACACACAACAAGACTCTGGTCTGAGGCTTGAGGTAACGTTTCACATCCATTAAGTAACACGGAATGATCTGTAGCAGCGTATCTGCCAAGTGAAACCGAATCTGTTGCATAGCAATCGGAAACGCTATACAGAAAGACAACGTTTGTCAGCTCAACCCTTTGACAATACCAGAGCACCGTACGGCAAATGAAAGGTCAAGGTTGGTGAGGAAATGGACTGACAACCATGATCCTAATACTCTTGTCGACTTTTACTGGGGGAATGAAGTACTGTAACCCACCACTATATTGTAACGAAGGCAGCTTATAACAGGTATGGATGTAGAGGTGCTTTCTGTATGCTAACCAAGTTACAAGATTTAACCTGAGTGGTGGAGAAGTAACGACAACAACTTGCATTTCTATAGCGCCCTTCACGCTGGGGTTGCGTGCCAGAGCCGTTAAATGACAGATGATGCCGGAATCCGGATGAATATTCGCACATTTAAAATGTTCGGTTGTGTCGCGCTCCCCGCTGTCTGCTGCGTCGCAAAACGTTTTAAGCGTAAGGTTTCTCCGTTTAAAAAAAAATGGAGGCAGAAGAAGTACCGCGTCCATTATTACACCACACCCAGCTTTAGAAAAGCAAACACTCGTGCCTCAAACTCTCTTCCAATAATAATAATAATCCTCGCATTTGATATAGCGCTTTTCACGTCGGGAGGACGTCCCAAAGCGCTTCACAGAGCACACTGTAAAGTGAATTGACTGTATTTTTGTGGGCGAACGCGGCAGCCAATTGCGCACAGCAATGTCCCACAAAGTGTCGTAGATTGAAAATGACCAATTTATTATTGTTTTTGGTTTTGGAGGGATTATTATTAGGCTCTGTGTGGAGTAAGGAAACTTGCCCGAGGTTTCACCCTCTGCCTGGAATTGAACTCCGGTCTCTCACTTGCAAAGCGAGTGCTCTAACTACTGAGCTACAGGACTCCTCACGTGCACTGCGAGACGGGATACCGGCGAAAGAAGCACGCCCACTGCCTTTGAAACCGATCACGCGACAACAACGACGACAACAGCTTGCATTTAAACTTGCTGTTAAAAAAAAGGGGAAGGAAGGGTGACCGTCACCAGCTATTGAAAAGAGTATTTCGCACTTAACGAGAAACGTGTTACGGAACATTTTGAGAGAGAGGGAAAAAAATATACATTACATCAACGGTAAATTTCCGAGAGGAGCAGAGGGCACCAGGGCAGCCCATTATTATTAACAACAATAATAATAATAATAATGGTTGCATTTGATACAGCGTCTGATCGGGTCTTTTCCGGATGTCTCAAAAGTGCTTCTTCGAAGGGATATGCAATTAAGCGGAGTGACTGTGTGTAAAACAATTCTAAAAATTGCAAGCGCTCTCTCTCTCTCTCTCTCTCCCCCTCCCTCTCTCTCTGGGTCAGAGCACATCTCAGCCGTCGTTGTTGTTGTTATAATAATAATAATATAATAATAAAAGAATTATAACGGTCCTGGAAGTTGGCAATGGAACAAGTCGGTCCTGTCAATCAAGCGCCTAGTCCCGCCTCCCGCCAATTGATTCGCCGCGGCCGTCCCCTGGGGGCGGGGCCGAGCGGGGGCTGATTGGTTGCCACCGACGTCAATCCGGCGTCGGGGCGCTGTGATTCGTCGGCCGATCGGCCAATCCCGCCTCCCGGGGGAGGCGGGCGGGGACGCGCCCCCCCGCCGGTCCGCCTCGCGCCATGTGCGCACGCGCAGCCGCCAGGAGCCTGAGCCGCCGCTCGACGAGCGGCATGAGGCGGGCGGTCTGACCCGTTAGCGCAGCTCCCGCCGCCCGGGCATGGGGACGAACGAGGTGGAGCCGTACGGTAAGTGGCCGTTACACTTCGGGTGGTGGTGGGCGGTCCAAGTCGGTTTGGGTTTGAAATTGACGTCGCGTGAGGCGGCGGCGGCGGCGGGTGAGAGCATCTCTTAAAGCGGGACGGGGCGCGGCTCTTAAAGCGGCACTGCACCCCCCCCCCACCAACCCCTCTCGTACACCCCTTAATTCCGGTCGTGCACCCTAAAATGTCACTCTCACCGCCCCCCCCCCCCCCCCGAACTTTGTTTGTTTGTTTGTTGGGTCGGAAGCAGCTTTAATAATAATAATAATAATCCTCGCATTTCACGTCGGGAGGACGTCCCAAAGCGCTTCACAGAATAGACTGTAAAGTGAGTTGATTGTATATTTGTGGGCGAACGCGGCAGCCAATTGCGCACAGCAATGTCCCACAAACAGTCGTAGATTGAAAATGACCAATTTATTATTGTTTTGGGTTTTGGAGGATTATTATTAGGCTCTGTGTGGAGTAAGGAAACTTCCCAAGGTTTGGCCCTCTGCCTGGAATTGAACCCAGGTGTCTTGCTTGCAAAGCGAGTGCTCTAACCACTGAGCCTCAGGACTCCACTTGCCAATTTATCTGGTTACTGACCCACCCGTGCAGTCACAAGAAACAACTTGCAATTCACATAGCACGCTTCGCGAGGGGCAGTTTCCCGGAGCTTTGCCGCTGAGCTGGGGGGGGGGGGAGAGAGGGGAGGAAGGTGGCTGTAGGCACTGTCGAAGAGGAAGACTCGACTGGGCTGGGAAGGGTGGGAGGGATTGAGGCAGGGAGTTCCGGAGTCCTCGGGGCGGCTGAAGTCGCCAGACTTCTAACCCGTCAAATGAGTTGTAAAGCGCCAGAGAGTGGAGTCTGGTCCCCTTTTGCAACAGCTGCAGGGTGTAGATTATCCACGGACACGGATTTCTTTTGACATATCTCTGCGCTGCCTACTGGGCAGAATGTTTTTAAAGAAAAACACACTGAATAGCCCAGTTTAAGTGTGCGTTGTTTTGCATGTGCGCGCACACACACACATATAGCTTAGCTGAAGATTTGGGATATGTAAAGTGAATACAAATGCGATGGGAGGTTTTTTTTTGCAACCGCTATCTACACAGACAGGCTGCCCTGTGTAAAGTGGGTTGATTGTGTGCTGGTGTGAAGGGTGTGGTAGGAATCTGGGCTGATGTTGATCCCTTCCGTCAACTACAGCAGTAATGGGGGTTGGTGGGGGGGGGGGGGGTAGAGGAGGAAAGGGCAGGTAATTGGGACTAAATAG